TTCGAGGCATCACGACCAACTCTCAAGATCAATTTCTACTAGAAGAGCAGCTTGGGAATTGTCTGCGCGACTGGCCTGAAGACTCTTCTTGTGCTACTCTGGCCTGGCCGGCATATGCTGCTGTATAGAGCTAAGGTTGCCCCAACTACACCGACGCATAGCACCCTCTTGGCTGGCAGCCTCGGTCTCAAGTTACGCCTCTCGCCTCGACTGTCAGCTTCACTTGTGTCGCTGATTCGAGGCGGGGAGGCGTCAGGTCTGCTGCCAGGGCGCTGCGATGTGTCATGGGAGTAGACCGTCGCGACGGAGGTGGGCTGACTCTCCGAGTTGCTGGACCGGGCTGTAGCCGGATCGAGAAAAGGCTGGACGAGAGATCGCGGGGAGTAGGACAATCAAATAACGCCCAGTTATCGTTGGCCCAGCAACTGAGGCACGTTTGTCTCATATATGCTCGATTCCCTTGGCCTCAGCACACCGACAGAACAGTCTGAGGGCCATGGGACAAGTGGGACATGCGGGACCTGGTGGGAACATAGCATCAAATAACCCTTGACCGACACTCGGGTACGCCTTGTTCCGACGAGATGGACAGGGTTGATGAGAAAAGTTCACTCGTCGACCAGTTATAGAATACCACACCGTTACAAAGCCCTGAATAAAACAATCAGTGGCAGTGGCATGAAATCGAAAATTCCGTTTAGCCAGTCATTTATTTCGGTTACAGAATAGTGTTACAATGAATTTGCGGAGTGACGAAATGAAATTGCTTATGAGTAGGCTTTCGAGACAACCACTAGATATTATGTAAGAGAGGTAATAATCCTAGTTGGTTTAAGGTGATGAAGGACTGCCAATCAAATTTTCTCAGAATCGAATGATTAGGCATCACACTGTCATTAAATTTCATATAGCCTTGCTTCCCAAAATGTATTCTTATCGAGAGGAAAGTAGACTGTAGATTCAACCTCGCCAAGGTGTCATCAGCACTTCCAACGAAACTCGAATCCGGTTTGTGCTAGTTCAGCATATAATCTCGACAGATTAAAAAGTAAACCACGCTGGTGCGAGTGTCCTTGAGTCACGGGTAAACATGAAAAATTAGACTATGGGCCCTTCATCACCTTAAACAAAAAAGGATGAATAAAGCTGTTAAATGTGTTAAATAATACTCATGACCACGGCATATAATCATTTCTCTAACTCAGGTTACTCTTCTCCCCTCGTCTAAGTTAGTATCAATATCAATATCCGTAATAGTATCAGCATCAGTATTCGTGCTTGTACTCATATTCATATTAGTATTCGTAGTAATACTAGTAATAATAATATTAGTGGTAGCATTGATATTTTTATTCGTATTCTGGTTGTGATTGAACCTACATTTTTGGGAACTTTATTTTTACAAATGTACTGAGCTTATTATATAAATTGCGACAAGTCTTTTAATTTTGAAGTAAATTTGGCTGAAAGGAATTCGTGAATTTGTCTTACTGGATAAAGATAAAGGATCGCCTAGGAGTAAAGTATGTTGTATTCTGGAAAGAAATCCTCACCTCACTGTTCTATGACTCAGATGAATCCGTCTATCATGTGGCAGACATCGCCGGAGCAAAAAACCATAATTCAGGAAAAAAGTACGAAATGCAAATAATTCTAATTTTTAAGAAATATTTCTTTTAAAGTGATAAGGGTCTGGTGGTTAAACTTTTCCCACAATGATATGCGTATGCCGTACGTTCCCATTGAATTTCGCTTAGCTTTGCGTCACAAAAGATTTTCTCATCTAGGGTGGGCGTAAAGCCCACCCATGGAATCTTGGAAAAATTCAACTACCAGTCCTTCATCATCTTAAACGAAATAAGGGGAACACAGCTCTTATATCAGATCTACTGGTGGTCTCGAAAGACCTTATAAAACAAAAGATAAATTTTTTTTCTATATGAAGAGAAACTGGGTTTCGAAGAGTCCCTTAATGGATTGATGCTGGCATAC